GGCCCCGCTGCTGAAAACATGGATACAATGTTTCGGTCCGGCTGGGTTTCAGTCCGGCTGTTTTCTGGGGTTTTGTTTACCTTCTTATTTGCAACATAGTATATAGTTGCTTAGACTTGCAGATGAGAGGCTGGCAAGTGAGGCGGGAGTTCGCAGCAAGCAAGCCTCCCTGCTCGCTTCAGTGCCTGGCTGCCGGCCGCCATCTTGGCTGACAGTTAATTTGCATATACTCACTGATTAGCCAATGAAAAGGGTAGCGGTCGTACGCCAATTACCATGTTTCTCTTTTATTAGTGTAGATGCCTTTGAATGAAATGGCATTTTTCAAGGAAAAATAAGGATCAACCCCCACCCCCAAAATAAGAAACAATCAACCCCCACCCACCAAAAAAGCCTACAGAAATCCTGAATAAATAAATAAAACCAATGTATGGTGGTAAATGTTTTATTTTGCAAGTAATATGCATATATTTAAATCTAGCATCCATTGCTACCATCATCTTACTTTTAAAGGACGATAATTCCCAGAGTTTTATCAGAAAAAAAAAAGACAGCCCCTTTTAAACAAATATTTATTTAATTTATCTTTATTGTTGAAAGTATTACATATGTCTCCTTTCCCTGATTGTTTTATATCCCAAATATGAGTGAAATCATATGGTTCTTGTCCTTTTCTGTCTGATTTAATTCATTTAGCTCAATATTCTGAAGATCCATGCATATGTGTTGTTGCAAATGGCAATATTTCATCTTTTCTCATGGCTGTGTAGTATCCTTTGTATATATGTAGCACAGCTTCTTTACCCAGTTGTCTGTCAAAGGACATTTATGTTGTTTCTATGTCTTGATTATTGCAAATAATGCTGCAATGAACACAAGGGTAGGCATATCTTTATAAATAAGTGTGTCCAATTATCTTTGGGGGTAGATACCCAGAAGAGGGATTGCTGGGTCATAGTCTTAATTTTCTGAGGAACCTCCACACCATTTTCCACCGTGGCTGCACCCGTTCACATTCCCACCAGCAGTGCACAAGGTCCCTTTCTCCACGTCCTCACCGCACTTGTTATTCTCTTGTATCATTGATAATAGCCATTCTAGCAGGTGTGAGGCAGTATTTCATTGTGGTTTTTATTTACATTTCCCTAACAACTAGCTATATTGAGCATCTTTTCATATATCTGTTGGCCACTTGTATGTCTTCCTGAGAAAAATTCAGGTCCTCTGCCCATTTTTAAATCGAATTGTTGTTGTTGTTGTTGAGTTGTGTGAGTTCTTTATATATTACTAGAGGCCCAATGCATGAAGATTCGTGCAAGAATAGGCCTTCCTTCCCCTGACTGCCGGCACCACCTTCGCTCCGGTCAGAGCTGCCTTTCTGCCTTCCCACGCTGCCCAGAGGCCTGGAGCGGTTGGGGTGGAGCTGAACACCTGCATCATCGCCATGGCAATGATGCAAGCGTCCTGCCCAGCCCCCAGCAGCTTGGCACCTGCATATGCAAATTAACCCGCCATCTTTGTTGGGTTAATTTGCATACTCACTCCTGATTGGCTGGTGGGCATCGTGAAGGTATGGTCAATTTGCATATTTCTCTTTTATTAGTGTAGATGGGTATTAACCACTTATCAGAGTTATCATTTGCAAATGTCTTCTCTCACTTGGTTGGCTGCCTTTTTGTTTTCTTGGTGGTTTCTTTTGCTATGCAGAACTTCTTAGTTTGATGTAGTCCTGTTCATTTATTTTTGCTTTTATTTCTTTGCCTTTGGGGTCAAGTTCACAAAAACCCCACTGAGATCAAAGTCCAAAGTTTAATGCATATTTTACTTAATGTATTTTATGTCTCATATTCAAGTGTTAAACCATTTTGACTTAATTTCTGTGTGCAGTGACAGAGCAGTCTATTCTCAGTCTTTTGCATATAGCTTTCCAGTTTCTCAACATCATGTATTAAAGAGGGTTTCCTTTTTCCATTGTATGTCTTGGTCCCTTTGTGGAAAATCAGTTGCTCATATACATGTGTGTTTATTTCTGTGTTCTCAGTTCTGTTCCATTGGGCTCTGTATGTATTTTTCTGCCAATACCATATTGCTTCAATTATTATAGCTTTGTAGTATAATTTTAAGTGAGGGAGTGTGATACTTTAGGCTTTGCGTGTTTTTTCAGGATTGCTTTGGTTATTTGAGCATTTTTGTGTTTCTATACAAATTTGAGAATGTTTTCATTCCATTTATTTGAAAAATACCATTGGGATTTTGGTGGGGATCACATTAAATCTGTATATTGCTTTACATAACATAGTCATTTTAACAATGTTGTTATTCTTTCAATCCATGATCAATCAATATCTTTCCATTTATTTTTGTCTTCTTCAATTTCTTCCAACAATGTCTTGTAGTTTTCAGCTTATAGATCCTGCACCTCTTTTGTTATGTTATTCCTAATTATTTTTGTTGTTGCTGTTGTGATTGTAAATGGGATTGTTTTCTTAATTTTTTCTCATATTTCATTGAGAGTATATAGAAATGTAACATTTTTATATATTAATTTTGTATCCTGTTAATTTACTGTATTTGTTTATTGTTTCTAATAGACTGTTATGGAGTCTTTAGGATTTTCTTTATAGATAGAATCATTTTATCTGCAAGTAGTGACACTTTTACTTCTATATTCCTATTTGAATATCTCCCCTACCCCCAATACT